GCCTGTTCCAGTTTGAATAGAGGCCCTTCGATGCGAAAAGGGCCTACAGAGAAGTTAGTGTGACATTTTGGGCATTATCTGGGAATACATACCTTGAGGTACCGTATGAGATGTTCGATATTCATATCTGCACCCATCCAGCAACCGGGAAGGCCTGAGGGATTGACAAGACTATTGTCTCGCATAATATTGCTGTAACTAGGGTCAGCTTATGGCAAGACAGCCAAAAGAACTTCACGTACGCAAATTCCGGCATCCAAACATGCTTCAAGTTGTAAAGAAGATAGAGGATCTCATTCAAGTAGTTGTTCAAACCTCCTCCACGGAAAAGGCACGCAATAGAAGGTAATATGTCCTCGCATCTTCCCCAGTCGCCAGTCTCAATTGCCGTAACAAGTTCGATGACATATAGGAGATCCCGGGTAAGTAGATGAACATTGTATAGGGTAACGTCGTTGTGATCTGGATTCACATCCGCCTCACCCACAAGAGGTTGGGGTGGAGCCTTGGGATTTTCTGGCTTTGGTGGTGCGGTCGGAGTTGCGTGTTTCTGAAGGATGTCCCGGGCAATCGATAGAATTTGTTCGGGGGTGGGGTCTTCTTTGGCAAAGTCATTCAGGTCGTGCCTTCCTGTCTCAATCCTCCACGCATTGAGTATTAGACCGTGAAGGACCTGAGTCATTGCCATCAGGAGAGTATGGTAGTCGGGTTGATCGTTCCCAAGCCGAGTCTTCTCCATGAGTGCGAAGAATGATGAAAGGGAGCCTAGTTGCTGCATGGTACCGCGATGAACATGCAGGAGACACCATAGGAGGTTCATGACGAGGTGGAAGACTCCTGGAGCAAGTTGGAATACAAAATGTCGCTCCCAGGCATTCACATCATCAAGGCGCAGGTCCTGTGCACCACGAACCCGTGCTAGCGTGAGCTGGTCAGCATAGAGTGGGATAGCCACCTTGCTCAAAGAATGGGGGTCTCTTCGCAGTTGGGTGCGGTAGATATTGTCGTGGACCTGGAGATTTCCGTCGATGCTTGCCTCTTCAATGGTGCTGGCACGTAAAGGGTAGAAGATAGTTTTGTGACCGTCAGGAACCTTTCGTCGCTCCTGATATGTAAACAATGGATTGGCAGAGATGTTTTCAAATTCGGGAATGTACTTGAAGAGGATTTTGGCAATTGTGACAGTGCACTGATGGGTATAAGCTAAAAGTGCCTGTCGTGATGGTCGAAGTTTAGCGGTCACGTGCTGGGGGTAGATCGGTAACTGGCCCTACCTTATCAAGTAGGTCAAAAGCTAGCTCAACTTGACGCACGAAATACGTACAGTCCGGCGGTTCCGATATGATTGCTTCCCGCTAGCTTCAGCCTCTTTTTTGGCCCAAATTGTCTCAGAAGCAGCATCAAGAATTTGGTTCCACATTGGGGTGAGGAGGAGTCCATGGTCGTAGAAAGGTCCCAAGTTTCGATGAATTCCGGGGTGATATCCTTTGCATTCATCTGAAGAAGCGGCTTTGAAGCGTCCATCTCTTCATGGATGTCGTTGCAGATCAGGTCAAGCCCATGAGGTCGCATCTATTCCTGGAGAATAGGACATCCCTTCTTGTCGTTGTACAGCAAGTTGAATATTGAATGTAAATTACTTTCTTTATTCGACGCGAAAAGGCTGTTACGATACATCTGAAAAGGTCCTTCCCCTTTGATTACGGTCTCGAGCAGCTGCAGAAGGGTGTATTTCTTTGTCGAAAGCACACAAAGTAAGTCCAGTGCAGCCTGCGCTCGCGCGTTGAGCTGGGACGTAGTTTGAGATGTGGTCAGTTGTGAAGGGGCTGGAGTGGACTGGGGAACGAATATAGGTGGTGGAATTGGCGCCGTAAATAGGGAGGAATGACTCCCAGCGTCGTCTCCATGTGCTGGAGTTGCAAACAGGTCGTCAAATGCGAAGGACATTGCATTAGTAGAAAAACTAGGCATTCATGAATTAGAAACAATTAAATCATGAAATGGATGATGCGCACCTCATATCACCCAAACTACTCTTGTATTGTAGTGACATATCAACACTGCTACTCGTGCTGGCCTCTGGTAGGGATGTAGACGTCCTTGGGGTGATAGGAATATGGGAGAATCCTTCGATAGGGACACCCTGCCTCTGGGCCCTTTCATCCATGTTCTCGGGATGCAGAATGGATTGCTGCGCTGTCCAGGGACTCTGTAAAGTATAGCCCTGGTGTCGCTGCACTAGTCCCTGTGCTGCTGCATAGCTCTCCAGTAATGCAAATACGTGTCGAGCGCTACCCGGGTCCGACTCTGCAGGTGGCTGCTCCCTGTCGCTGCCTTTTGTTGCTCAAGACTGTTTTCCTGAGGGGTTTATTGAGAACGACGAACTTCCAGGTATTGGATTCTTTGGTTTTCGTCCTCTCTGAGACATGGTGAGATGGGAGATCAGAGATAACGAGCTTATTCTGAGCTGCGGAAACAGTGCCCATGGAATTAGAAAGGCGGCCTCAGTTCTCGATTTGGTATCTATCCTAATTGGGTAAAATAAAAGTGACAAGTGGCTATGTGATGGCGCGCCCCCCTGTTTCAAACCCCGCCACACCAGTCAGAGAATCGAGGATTCTCCTCCCATTCTCCGAACGGTCACGAGTCTACCACTGCAAGTGGGGAAGAGTTCGATGGGGGAACTCCCACTTGCAGTCACTACCTATATACGTCTGGAGACAAAGGGATGTCTATATATGGTAGAACAATAAGATGTCCGAATTGAGAACAAGGGATACAAGAGAACAATAGAACTACTTAAATATATCCGAGATGAGAGAACAATAGAATGTCCGTATAAGGATACATGAAATGTTCGTACATAATTGGGTATCCTTGTACCTGTAAATGGAATAGATGTGACATGTGCATTGTATTCCAACACACCCCCTCAATGTAATGTCACTAGAGAAATACATGAGTCCCAGTGAGGTTTGATGACGTTCAACATCTTCTCGATGGAGTGGTTTTGTTAGAATGTCGGCGACCATGTCTTTCGTTGGGCAGAAATGGATCTCGATCTCCCTGCGCTTGATCTCTTGTCTGATCCAGTGCATCTTGATGTCGATGTGCTTCATTTTGCTGTGATGCTCTGGGTTTCAAAGGACTTTAATTGCTGACTGGTTGTCTACCATCATCGGTGAAGGTTTATCGAGTGAGAACCCAATTTCCCTCAGCAAGTTCCGTAGCCATATAATTTCTCTTCCCACTGATGATGCAGAAACATATTCCGCTTCAGTCGAAGAGTTGGCCACAGTTGCTTGCTTCTTGGCAGACCAGCTGATGGCTCCTGTTCCCATCTTGATGACGAATCCACTTGTTGATCGTTCTGTGTTGAGGCATCCTGCA